CGACTACCTCCCAAAACAAAGCGGCTTTCCCTTGCTACCGTCAAAGTGTAACGACTGGACGACTGCGTAATCCTCAAGAAGCGTTCTGTTAAAACTCTCAGTCTGCGGTGGCTTCCACCACTCACGGATATTTGTTTTCACTATCCAATCGCGCTTCTAGCACCACCTGAAATGCTGCCAATCTCTGTCTACGGCACTAAGATCCTGTCCTCTTCGCAATCCTCCTCCTCCTCATCGTCCGGCACTGCCTCCGGCCGGGATGCGGCGTTAGCTGGTCGACCCTCCGACCCCCTTGCCTCCTCTTCTCAGTCCTTGGCACCCGTGCTACGAGACGGTGAAATCCCACTGACCTACGGTCTCGGTACGCGGACCAATCCCTACGATCTTCGCTCCGGTTTGCAGCTGCACCTCACCTGTCGCACGGGCTGCGGTTATCCCAGGGCCGACCTAACTTGGACCGCTGTCAATAGGGTAGGCAGTATTTAAGACCGAAATGTCTCGGCCTCCGAGTACTTATGTACTTGAAACCTTGTTACCACGTTCCCCTTGGCTCTGATCGAAAAGTATGCTGTTTGTCCGTTGGATGTGGACCTCGTCCTAGCAACCTGAAACAGTTTATGCCCAGATTGCACGATACATCACAGCATGGGCAGCATGGGTACTAGCTGACTGCCCAAGCCTGTTTCGCTGATATCCTGCCACTGCAGGACACAGCTTCGAGGAGTTCGGCTCATCAATGGGGTCCCCGGCGTTCCCTGCGTGTTTTCTGGTACATACTACCATTTTGAAATTGCAGCTTTGTGATTTGTTATTTGCCAACTTGTAGCAAACCAGTCTACTTAAAGTTAGCAATTAATTTCTGGGGGAATTAAAAACCCGCAATTTCAAAACTTTAGTATCTACTAGAGAGCACACAGAGAATGCTAGGGGATCCACTGATGAGTCGAACTCCTCGCAGCTGTGTCTTGCATCGACAGAATATTGGCGAAACACGTGTCGGGGCTTTTAGCTGGCACCCATGCTGTCAAGCGTGGCGTATGCATATACTACTGGCTGCCTTTTGGCAGTTTATGAATATCACGCAGTTATTCCACCGTGGTTGATGAACTTCGGGCCGAACATTCATACCAAATTTTAGTCTCAAACAGACTAATTTACTCCAAGAGTTAGCGACTAGTTTCTGAGGAAATTAAAAAGGTGTAGTGAAGCAGTTTGTGAAGTTGCCCTCAGGAGGCGTTGGGGACAAATTTTTCGGAAGGATAATTAACCATTGGCGGATCCAAAATGCGGTCTGACAGGATTCTCGAGCACGGCATTCGTTCATTATGGTGGGCGTGTTGTCGGCTCAATGTAGCCGTATTTCCAGAGGCTTTTTAGGAGGCAATTCTTGAAAACGATTGCCAGCAATGAAGCTGTCAGTCTGTCTGGCGCTTCTCGGACAGAACGAAATGGCCGCATGCAGTTCTGCAATTTGGTCAGACAAATGCACGAACGCCCGGGTGAGGTTGGCAGTCGGTTAGAGTCACTGCCTCAAAGCCCTGTAAGCGTTATAACCCTTTGCCAAACTGCTTTCGCGCCGAATAATCACCTCTCTAGCACCCGTTTATTCCACAGTTTTATGTTTGCGCTTCTTTTTCTGTCTGACTTTTCCAGAAGATTGGTTTTCATCTGGAGATGGAGAAGGTACCCTAGAAGCCCTAAGTTTTACAGACAGTACTACGAAACTTTCTTTGCGATACAAGCGAGGATGCGAGTTCCAGAAACTAGTTGATCAGAAAAAGAAAAAGGAGAAGAAGAAGAAGAAGAAGAAGAAGAAGAAGAAGAAGAGGAAGAGGAAGAAGAAGAAAAAGAAGCGATCGCTGGAACAAGGATTTTATTCGCTTGATGTTTCGGATTCTTACTTGAACCCAACATCAGAGACAGTGGCAGAAAAGGGGTTCAAGTGGGAATCCGAAACGTCAGTCGAAAAAACCCTTGTTCCAGCGATCGCTTTTTCTTCTGAGAAACTTTCTTTGCTCGGCTGGACGCGACTGTCAGCTCTGCGAGAAATGCAACAGCCAACTTGAACCAAAGCAGATCTAGCTCTCAAGCCGACTTATTCTAACCGATGTACGGTAAAATGATGACTGCAGTCCTAGATTCCCCCAGCGAGACAACATCATCACCATGCAGCAATTTTTTCCGCTATTCATTTCATGTGGTCGGTTACGCCGTCTTCGTCCCAAATGTAAGCACAAGATGGGCGCTGAAAGTAAAGTACGTCAAAGAGGGATGCTGAAATCGTTAGTGGGGAAAGCAGTCGAGGCTGAAACGGGGAAGGCAACCTGATGTATGACAAATCGGCCGCGAGATTAAAGGAAGCCTAGAATCCCCGTTAAAGGCCTGGGTGGCAAGACACGCGGGCCAGCAATACCCCAAACCTGACGGCCAACCTAACCCTAAACTCAAAGGTAAGCCCAATCCTTAACGTAATTGTAGGCCTAACGCCAATCCTAAACTTAATACTAAACCTAAACGTACAACAGACCCTTGCCCTAAGCCTAACCTTAAGCCTGACCTCAACCCTAGCAGTAACCCAAACCCTAACCTTGGCCGTAACCCTACCCTGACACTAATCCTAACCCCAACCTTAGCATTAAACGTAAGCCTGAGCTGCAATTCAAACCCTAACTCCAACCAGAACCCTTAAACTTAACACCAATCCAAACCCTAACCTCAATCCTTAGCCTGACACCAACCCAAACTCTAAAACCAACCCTACCTCCAAACCGAAACATCAGGTTTCCCTTTTCCCTTTTAGCTTTGGCTACTTTCCCACTAACGATTTCAGCATCCTCCTTCGGCTTGCTTTACTTGCAATGCCCGCATTGCGCTTACACTTGGGACTAGGGCAGCATAACCGATCCCTACCGGAATTTGTTTTAATCGTAGATCAGTTGGTCTATTTACTCGCTCTAAACTGACTTTTTCACTTTGTTTGTCTGAACCACATTTTGAAGGTCATGTGTACACTGCGCTAGCGTCGTTTCGAAGGAAATTTAATATGGCATAAATTTCGCACATAATTCATTCACGATTATCAATGATGCCGACGGTTGCAGTTTGCGGCTGATACGTCACATTTGTAGTCCTTCGATGCTATTTACTTCACGTACCCGTATTTTTCCGCGGTAGATAAAAAGCGTTTTGCCAAAAAATTTTGGAACATCCTTTCAAAATCAAGTATAATCTCTCTCTCTCTGCCTCTCCCTCTCTCTCTCTCAGCCACTCACCCGCCCAATATCTTTGTACATGCTAGTGGTTTTAAGACCTTGTGTTTTTCTTACACCCAACATACGCTCCTTCTCTGATCGTGCCAATGAGACTTAGACTTTCCCCGGCCCATCATCATCATCCTGTTACCAGACACGGACACTCGATTGGTGCATGAGAGAGAGAAGTGAAAATGAGACCGACGCCGGGGAATCCATCCCCACGGCACACCAGCACTTGAGTCTACAACGACGCGCTCTAAGTCGTGACTGGTAAGGTTGCCAACCAACAGGTCAGGCTCTAGTGACTTGTTCTTAATGTGCACTCGCACACATGTGAAATCCGTGCCGCCCTTTCAGCAGCCTGGTGCATGCAATGGAAATCGGATCGTGCGTGGTACGCGTAGAGGGACTACTTAGTTATATCAGCCATCGCGCAGGGGGTTTACCCCCAGTAGCCTTGACCTTGTCTACCCAGTTGAGCAAGGTGGCTGAGGGAGGAGAGAGTGCGGAAGATGCATCGCAAGTCCGTGCCACTGCAAGCTAATTCGCGCGCGCGAGTCACCATTGCTGGCCTACTCTGTATGACACACGCACTGGGCCTTAGGATTGGGTCTGCCCCTACCCTAAACCTAACCTGTCTCCATCCTCTACTACGCAGCTGGATTTACAATTTCCCAGAGAATTTTTAAGGACGCTTCTAGCCTAATCTCAGCTTGAACGAATAAGTCAGGACGGAGGAGGAGTACCTGCAATGGTCTTTACCATTTAGTGGCTGGATTTCAATCCGACGCCAGTTTAACTTCCCCTCCCTATTCGTTCCCTTTCCAGTGAGATGCCGACCAGACGCGCCCTCTTGGGGTGGTTAACAGACTCTGTCAAATGCGCTTCGCAGGTTGTCGTCCGCCGCTACTCTTCAAACCATTTTGTTTTCTCTCTCTCCCCTCCGATAGCTACTGTTTCCTATCTCGCATTCAACTTTTTCTCCCCCCCTCCTCCTTCTGTGTAGACTGACACCCAGACGAAAAAACTGCCCGCCGACTCGATAGTCGATGCTGCACCCTGTTACGGTTCCGATGCCACGAAAAACATGACGACAACCAGATCGGAGCTGGTCGTGCATTGTGCATCGCCCCCATTGGTTGGTCTCAATAGACTCGAATGCACAGCCACCGGAGACTATGAAGTCGCGGGTCTAACCAAACACGTTTTCGTTCTCTGTCCTGGTACGTTATCCCTATTATTTAACTATTTTTTAATGTTTCTATACTCCCTCCTGTTTGTAACCACAGCTAATCTTCGTCATCAGTCTGGAACCGAAAAGAAGCAAATCTTTGCTTCGAAGAGCAATTCGCCCCCTAGGCACCAGCTGTGTGTTCCTCGTTTTAATACCTCTGAATCTGGCGCGGTTGAAGCTTTCATTTGCCATGGTGGTATTGACGATGCCCGACTGTCTACCTTCGGGGTAGCAACCTTGCAAACTATAGTTAATGCGGATATAAATGTAACTCATGCGTGTTCCTGCTTTTTTCCTTCAGTACTATCAGTGAGACAGTTTTGGCATTGCCTCTTCAGTTGACCGCATATCCTGATCCCCAGAAAGGAAATAAGTCGTCGCAATTTAGAGAAAAGGGTCCTCTGTATTCCTGGTGATGTGTACTTCAAGTGGTGCAGAAACGCTGGATGCTCTGGGAAGGTGGACGAACAATAGAGCATTCGGAAGGTAGTGTGAGCATGTGCGAGCTGATAAGAAGACCGGAAAATGAGAACATTGAAATAACCGTAAACAATATTGCCTGGAGACATTTGCTGAGTCGTTCGTTAATTGCTGAACAGTAAAACATTCATTCAGGAACGGTAACTGAAAGTTGGCAGCCCGTCTCCTCGATCTCACGATGCCGTACTTGGCGCCAAGTTAGTCCTTATAGACACACCCTCTCGATATGTCTTATTTACTTACTTGTACTTGGTACGGCTGTGATTGTGCCTGATCTAGCCGACCTCGATGGTGTCCCGAACTGTACCCATCTCCACGTGTGACGACCTACGGTAGCAGATCTGGCCAGTTCAACCCATTTTCTTCGACAACGATGGAGACTGAATACCGATGGTTCAGGAAACACCTCCATGTCTTGATGAACTGTGTCAAGTCAGGTTTCGAGTTGACCCCCTCTTCGACGCCTCCAATGAGGTAACGGTGTTGAATCGACGACGCTGATCTCCTGAGGTGGAGGTGCCAAAACCACCTCAGTCGGCTTTCTTGGATTGCCTGGGTTATCCCTACGATGTTGTCGCAGCAGATGCAGACTGTCTCATTTGAGACGAAGTCTGTGTACGTCCCTCAAAGGATGGTCCTTGCACAGTGGTGGTCAAATACCTCCATTTTTCGCTCGTCCTCCGCACGTACAGTCCAATACTCACAACCATAGAGAAGGATGGACCGAATAGATCCACGGTACACGGGAATATTAAGTGGCGATGGAGGCGTCGCGTCAGATCCATGGGCATTTTTTAAGGCTTGAGAAAACCCGTCGGTGATCGGCCATCAGTGATCCCGACCACGGCTAGCGTAGGCAGCTTTTTGTGCCTGTTGACCGAGCGGTTATTGGACATCCCGGCATCGACATGTGATCGTCACCTTGACTCCCAATCTCAAAAAGTCTTGTCTGCGCAGCATCAGCTCCCACCTTCAACGTGGGGGTCTGGTTTCAGATCCAGCCTGCCAGTCTTCGTGCTTCCGCGTCCCCTATCAATCGATGAATGGAGCCCCATGTATGACTTAACATTAATGCTGCGACCTCTCAAGGCCAATCGACACAGTGCCCTTTGCTGATTGGCTGTGGACTGACAAGGCCTATTCGCACGTACTGGGGACTGACACTTGCCTGATGAAACGACTTGCTGCACCCGCATGCTCATTCGCTTGTACGCTCCCTAACCTCAGAAAAGTATGTCCTATGACTCTGCCCGCTCCAACTTTTGATCTGGGAATCTCCGAGTTGTCGAGTCGTTCCACTTCGATATGGTCACCAGTTGGCTGTCGGTGTTATTTCCGGTGGTAAGTTCTAGGGGGGAGGGAGGGGGAAGTAGAGCTTCCCCTGTTGTGACTTGTAGATCGCTGATGATGGAATTCCTGTGCTGTGTACAGCCGTCAGTCTCCTCCTGATCAACGATGCCGAACATGTAGTTAGGGTAGCATGCCCAAACGTAAGGTTTATACGCCGCGAAAGGTCGTCCTTCGAGATTTTAGAGGACCATCTCACCAACTAACTCAGAGAGTCCTAAATCAGTCTGACGCCTGTTTTGGTTCGACGCATCTTCAGTAAAGTCCTATGCGGGTTGTATCAAGTCAGTGTGCAGCCGTGATTTGTATTATTACATTTACTTTCCCAAACTCGTCTTATTTTTAATTGGCGCCCTGTGCAGTGAAATGCGATGTGGTGAGACGTGCAAGATCATGTTCCTGTAGGTCTTCAAAAGTCGCTTCTGCCCCTTTTTTCGGGTTTTTCTCCTCTGGGCTCTTGTTGTTTTGGCGCCCAACTTCGAGGCAGTCGTTACCTGAGAACTCACTTAGTGGTAGAGTGGCGCACACCGATCGTTCTTACGGAACGCACTCGTTCCGTTGTGCCTCACGGGCTCTCTCTCGAGCCCAACCAGCAGCAACACAACGGCGCATGATATAGGCCGAATGTTATTACCGACAAGGACAAAGGAGACTTGAATGACAATTTCTGGCTTATTAGCGGTCGTCAGTCAGTCATACCCAACCCCGAAGTGTGGAACACCTGAGCCTCGATCCCGCGACCTGTTAGTTAGAAATCCAATGCCTCTAACCACTGAGCCCGGGGCTCGTTGTCCTGTCGGTTTTGATCGGGAATTTACAATGGTAGAGGGGCGCTCACCGATGACACCTCGGGTTCACTATGTCCTAGTGCCGTTAGTGGACTTTGTGGTGTTTTATGGGCTGGAACCCACCTCTTTGCGCTCTGATGGCACAACTACCGTTCGTGTGTCAACAACTGCTCATTCTTTAGCCTCAGGATTCTGTTTACCCCGCAATTAACATTCACTGAAGGTCGTTCGCCTATTTTCAGCCAGTTGATACGCTAAGTAGCCAGAAGCCAGGCTAAGAGTTGGTCACTTACTGGTAAAGTCGCTTAGCCTCCCCCCCTACCGCGGTTTAACGCCTCACCGCCTTCTTGAGTAACTTCCGTGGGTTAACAATTTCGTCGTCCACCTAACATTTCCGGTGGCAAAATCAGAACAGCGGTTTCAAAAGGGTATTGGACTGTGGACGTTACGCCCACCATTTAAACCGCATGGGGACTCTCTGATGCCGATTATGATCAACACTGTCATGCTGGACAATCCAAAAGGAGTGAGTGCAGTAATACGCTAAAATTTTATCCTTGCCGGTGGATCGGGAACGTCTTCCAAAAACGTTCCCATTTCCTATATTGCAGCACCGGCGTTTACCACATTCAACCAAACACGAGGACATCTGAACATCTCTAGAAAACCAAATACGAAATTTAGGGTGTTTGCTTACCGCTTTGTGAATATGGAGCACACAAGTTCGCCTGCTTGATGTCAGTTACAGTGAAATTTTAACCGGAATTCTGAAATGAGTTTTCGATTAGAAAGGATTACTTAGGTGGGTTGTAATACTGATTATCATGCGACATAGTCCCCTAACATTCAGAATGGGCCAGGATGTCGGCTTTTGGATGCACTTCTTCGACCTATAGAAACCGTACTCGGTAGGAAATGACTACTTAATTAGCATGCCTTTTTTACATTGGTTTTCGATGGTCTTACAAATTCAAACATATTTTATAGAAAACGTGCACAAAAATAACCTCTTACTCCTTTGGTGTAAAATCATGTTGTCTCCACAGTTTGCACCCATATTCAGGAGATATTTTGGCTTCGAAAAAGTTTCTAATTCTGAGAGTTTTTAGCTTTGTGTAATGTCTATTCATACAGCATCGTGCCCGTACGTTTATCAATGCTCCTCCTGAAATGTATAACGTAGTCCGCGTTGCAAAATTTTATGATCTCTATATGGTATCTTCTTATAGGCCTAGAGGAATATATGATTCTTACGCGGAAATCGTTAGCGTTAATTCGACGGCTGATCAGGCTCGTAATTGTTCAACAACTGGAAAACTTTTTTAAAACCAAAAAATATTCCCTCATCAGGTATAAAGTATGAAGACAACGTGACTTTCTACAAAAGGAGTAAAAGGAAACATATTTTGTGCAAGGTTTCTATAAAATATATCTTAATGTATAAGATCGTCGAAAATCAATGTGAAAAATGCATGCAACTTAAGTATGCACTTTTACCGAGAGCGGTTTCTATGGAAGGTCTAAACGAGTCCAAACTATTATAGGATTATGCCGCATGGTAATCAGTACTGCAACCCCACTTAAGTACACCTTCCTAATCGAAAACGCATATCAGAATTCAGGTTATCATTTCAAGAGCTCGCTCGCTGCCTGTAAATACTTCGTTCCAGTTGAAAACTTACCGAACATATACCATTCAATATTTCATGAGTGGAACACTTCATGCATTGCGTTCCATACCAAGCTACAATGAGGGGGGATCTTGGACCTCGCACAGGCGAAAGTTGCCATAGAGATCACATTAAGGAGGAGCTATTTCAACCGGATCGTCAGCCATGAGCTGGACCGAGTTACCGCCGCAACTGCCAAACTTCTCAGACGCAACTGAAAACGCGCCCTGTCTGACCTCTCCAAGAGACAGTTAATGTCACACAGACGCCAGAAAATTATATGCAGAGACAGGGGAAAACTCACTCGAAAGAGAAAAGGACAGAGGCCGATCCAGCCTTCCGGGAGGGTGCCATTCTAGACGATAAACTTTCCATTTTTGGTGGCTGCACCGAGCAAAAAAAACATATTGTGTGATTACTTACCGTACTAACGCAGTTACTTGCCAAAAACCCCGACACACGTGTCTCGCCGATTATGTGCCGCTGCTTGACGCGGCTGCGAGGGGTTCGGCTCATCAGTGGGTCCCCCTCTTGTGCTTTGTCAGGCAGTAGCGCAAGACCGGCGGTGCACGCGTGTCTGGGCTTTTAGCTAGTACCTGTGTTGTCCGTACTGCAAATGATTAAACATTGTTACATGTAGTTATGGTGATGACACTTAGGGCTCATAAAACGTCGTTGCCCACTTCATAAGCAACGTTAAAAATGTGCTGATGCCATGTTGTGCTAATTCAAATATATTTTATAAAAAACATGCACAAAACTATTTTTCCTTTCGCTCATTTGGTAGCAAATAAAGTCTTCTTTAACCTTTGTACTTTAAAAAGGAGATTTTTTAGTTTTAAAAAATCTCTGAATTCCCGAAGCATTGTGAACTTGGCCTGCCGTTGTACTTGCATCTAGGGTTTCTGAAGTATAAGCTGTTTACTTTGCATACAAGGGAAATCACACATTGTTATATTGTTTTGTTTAATTTCCGAGAAAATTAATGCGTGGACTTGGAGTAAATCCTTTGGAACAGAACTTTTCAGGCACGATCTTAAATTTGATGTGAGTACTTGAGCTGAAATCCATTAGTTACTGCGAAATAGCCGCGTAACATTCACAAAATTTATAAGCAACATTCAAAATGGGCTGATGCCATGTTGTAGTAATTTAAATACAGTGGGTGGGCTAACTCATGAAATGTCAACCGAAATTCCGAAATGCGTTTTCGTTTCGAAAAGAGTAATTAAGTAGGATTGTAAAACTAATCAGCCTGCCAAATAATTCTATAATATTTCAGTAACCTCAGGATGCCGGCTCTCGAATGAACTTCCTTCCGGCTGCATGCAAAACTACACTATGTAAAAAATGACTTCTCAATTGGCATGCATCTTTCTCATTTATTTTTGATGACCTTAAAAATTCAATTATACTTCATGCAAAACACGTAATAAAATATTCAGTTTTAGCTCTTTCGGTAGACAATTACGTCTTCTTTCAGTTTTACACTTGAAGGAAGGGTATAATTATGATGCAAAAATTTCTAATTGTGAGACTTTTCAATGACGTGAAATGGCCGTTCATAAAAAGTCACGCCTCTGTATTTGCCAATGTGGCTTGTAAGGTTAACAATATGATTCAAATCCACTGCTAAATGTTATGAACTCTCCTCTTAATACCGTAGAGAAATATATCGTTTTCCGTACGCAGAAAATATACGACTTGTAGTTTGGAAACCCTGAATGCAAGTGTAACGGCAGGTCGGGTTCAAAATTATTCGGAAGTTGGAAAAGTTCTTGAAAACCAAGTTACATTCTTCGAGTATAAGGTTGGAAGAAGACCTCATTTTCTGCCCAATGAGAAGGGGAATGAATATTTTTATGCATGTTTTCCATTAAATATAATTGAATTTTTAAGGGCATCAAAAATCAATGAGAAGAATGCATGCCAATCGAGCAGTCATTTTTACGTAGTATAGTTTTTGCATGCAGCCGGGAAGAAGTTCGTTCGAAAGTCGGCATCCTGAGGTAACTGAATTATTATACAATTATGCTGCACGATGATAAGTATTGCAACCCTACTGAATTATTCTTTTCGAAACGAAGACGCATTTCGGAATTTCGGTTGACATTTCATAAGTTAGCCCATCTACTGTATGTTTTATAAAAAAACATGCACAAAACTATTTTTCCTTTCGCTTATTTGGTAGCAAATAAAGTCTTCTTTAACTTTTATACTTTAAAAAAACATTCTTTGGTCTTAAAAAGCTCTCTCAATTCCCGAAGCATTGTGAACTTGACCTACCGTTACACTTGCATCTAGGGTTTCTAAACTACAAGTTGTATACTTTTCATATAAGGCAAATTACACATTTTTATATTGCTTTATTTAATTTCCGAGAAAATTAATGCACGAACTTGGAGTAAATCCTTCGGAACAGAACTTTGCGGACACGATCTGAAATTTGATGTGGATATTTGTGCTGAAGTCCATTAGCTACTGCGAAATAGGCGCGTAGTATTCACAAACCGACAACAGGCAGCCAGTAATACACAATTTTGCAGCTACTTACAGAAAGGTATTAGCTGAAATCCCAGACACGCGTGTTTTGCCGATCTTGTGCCGCTGCCTGACGCAACTGCGAGGGGATGGGCCCATCAGTGGAACCCCAGCCTGAAATTGTCTGTCCCCAACAATTTACTCCAAGTTCATGCATTAATGTTCTCGGAAATGAAATAAGGCAAAGAAAACTTATTATCGGCTCCTATCCGGAGGACCAGAAAGAACAAGACACGTGAGAGCATGCTAGTAACATTTTCCGAAACTGGCCGCAGTGTGTTCAGGTGTGAGCACGTCCATTCAAAAGCAGAAAACAAGGACCCCAACATATGGCAGATAATATCGTATATTTTGCATCTTGATAACTAGCCCATTTCCCTCATCTCATTACTCAATTTTCGAGCCTCTGTATTTCTCTATCCACCGTACTCACCAGATTTTTGTACCATACCACATCTTCTGTCTGTTAAAAAGGTCATTCTCGGAGAGAGAGAGAGAGAGAGAGAGAGAGAGCACATCCCAAGGCAGTGCTTTAAATACTGAAACATATGGAGGCTGAATGAAACCCATCTTCCTCATCTGCCCACTAAGGGTACTTTTAGACGTGCCTGTGCCTTCAGGGGTAGAGCACGTCGACGCAGACCATATTACAGTATATGACGTGTCTAGTGAAACGCTAACTGAAATTTCTAAATAGGCTATCGACCAGAAGAGATCGCTCGGGTAGAATTGCAGTATTGACTGTCAGGCAGCATACGGTATTTCGGCCGGCTTTTGAATGCCCGGCCTTCTGGCCACATGCAGTAACCATGTTCGATATAGAAAGCTAAATAAGTAGTGTGGATTTTTGTTAGGGATTTTTTCGTTCCCATATGCATATGCGTTCCAGCATGTTTTATAAAAAGCATATACAAACATATCCCACCCTGCACTCCTTTTGTGACAGCTTACGCCGTCAGATTTCCTATTCAAAGAAGTGCCGCTTTCGATCTAAAAAAGCTTGCAGTTATGAGATTTTCTAAGACCGTGAGATGCCTATTCAGACAGCATCACATAGGTAGGTATATATATGCGCCTCTTGAGGTATATAATGTGATTTTGTGTTAATTGCAAAATTTTATAAGTACCTATACGTCGTGGAGAAATGTATGGTATCCCGTAAATAGCAAACGTACAGCATGTAGTTTAAAACCGTTGCAAAATTACGCCATATCGCTTTTTCGATAGAAAACGAATAAAACGTACTTTTCCGCAAAATGTATAAAAGGAAGAATTCATATTGACCCAACTGTGAAAAATTCGGCGCCTCGGTGGGATTCGAACCCACGCCGTAAGGGGAAGGCTTTAGTACAGCCTAGGCTCTAACCACTTGAGCTACGAGGCCCCGCGGACGACGCGAGTTTAATCACATTTGGGTCAAGTTACCCGCCCAAACTACTGCGACGTCTGGAATTCACCAAATCTGATACAGTACGTTGACTGCCCAAACAGGATTTCCTAAGTAATTCACCTACAATCCACCAGATGACTACCAGGCTCACGTAATACATAGATGTTTTGGCAGATTTTGGAATAATTCCCGCTCGGGCAGTCAACTTACTTTATCGGATTTGGTGGATTCCAGAGGTTGCAGTAGGTTGGGCGGGTAACTTGACTCGAATGTGATTAAACTCGTGTCGTCCGGCGGGGCCTCGTAGCTCAAGTGGTTAGAGCTTTAGCTGTAATAAAGTCTTCCCCTTACTGCGTGGGGTCGAATCCTACCGAGGCGCCGAGGTTTTCATAGTTGTATCAGTATGAATTATTCAAAATCTGCCAAAGCATATATGAAAAGGAAGAATATCTCTGGGCCTGTCTTCTATGGGTATGCTTGTGCGTATGCACTCACCCCCCCCCCCGTAGTCATCGTGACTTTTCCGTGCACATTCAAACAACCGGTACCTTGGCATGACGAAAATATTTTGGTACTTTGCGACATGACAATTATCATCACAACACCCCCTTTCATAAGTAATCCCTTCCCAACCGAGATCATTTAGTTATTGTTTCACCTGTTAAAGGGAAATTTCATGGCGCCAGTCTGGGTATTTTCTGTCTATCAGTAGAGTTCATGTGTGGTAATTCATTTCAGGCGGTGAAAAGGCGCTCCTCTTGACAGGTGGAGAGATGATTGGAATCGCCGTCGGCTCCTGTATCGTTCTCGGTTTTCTCATCAGCGGCTGCATCCTCCTTCGTCGGCGCAGCAAAGAAACAGTAGTCACTCCCAACGGTTTCGCCCGTGGACAAATGGTCTAGCCTTCTAGACCTTCCGTGCATACAGTCTACTCAACACACACACACACTCACGCACTGATTTAACCGGTCGTTCCCCTGTTAATACGTTTTTACCGTCAAACCACTTGCGCGCTCCTTTCTATCTGTGCATTTGTACACTTACCTTCGACGCTCGTAGTCTGTTGCTTCATTTTATATATATATACACCTACGCTGACTCACATTCCAATCATAGTAAGCATGCATTCCAATCTTATTCAAGTACTTTGGACTTTTGTGATTTCGGTTTTTAAAATGTGAGGGACTACTCAACCCTTTATTTTGCTGACCGACCCAACATTGCAAATAAATTCGTCTTTCTGTGAAGTGTTACTTTTCGTTCCTGCGCTATGGAGGGAAATAATTGCGCTTTAAACCCTTTTAAAGCCAATGCTTTGAACTATACTTTCAGATTAATTCATGTGTACTGGCAAGTCACCCTTAAGGAGTCAACGGTAGTATAATTACGGCACAAGTCGTTGCTAGCATGGCGTATAATCTTTCTATTCTGTAAGGATTAAGTATATGCGCGGGGTAAGAAAAAATTATTGGGAACTGTCTGCCATATTTTTCAAAGGTGTTGTTCGGTGGAGATTCTGGTCGGCCCTTCGTCGGCAGGATGACATTAGCTGACCTGTACCCCCTTGAAAAGCCAGCACTGCTGAAGTGTCTACATTGGCTCATTGTTCTACGCACTGCGCACGTAATCCTTTAGTAGGAGCCAAGCTCAATTCTAAAACGAAGTTCAACGTGTAGAACAGTCAGGTAGTGAAAAAATGCTCGAAGTAGCGGTAGACGGAGTGAATACGTCTGCCATTAAAGCAGGAGTGTTAATACGTCGGTGAATCTACTAAGCGACAGTTGGCATTTTCTTTCGCCGCACATATACTTAATCCTTGCCCCCTATTATTATCTCGTGTTTGTGTGTGACACTAATTTTCCCCGGAGGGCGTTTTCAATCGGGATTTAGAAGTTAGCCAGCTGTGATGATAACTCGGTCTACGATCGGCCTACGATCGGGCTGTAATAGCCCCTCCTTACCGTGACCTCTATGACCACCTTCACCTGCGCAAGGTCCGAGGCCTCCTCAATGTAGCCCGGAACAAGTGCAGCACGGTCAGATCCTGTGTGGTACGCGTAGATGGGTCGTCTAACTTTGTCAGCCAATGTCCCCCCCCCCCCTCCAATCGTCTTGACTTCGCGCTACCATTGAAGAACGGTGGGTGTAGAGGAGGGAGTGAGATGTACACAGGACAAGTCCCCCTCACTGCTGCTAGACCCACCTCGAAGGACAGTGGTATAGGTCGCCTGTTGTTACCTCACCTGAGCTCTCAGATAAGAGGGAGCGTCTGGATACCCTAATACAATCGGGTCCCTCTCCATTGATTACTTCGAAGGAAGGCCGGACTTCTGTGCACAGAGCATGTGGCGATCTGGGTTTCGTGCATTAAGACGTCTTACGTATGACATTTTGGGTATGAATAAGGGATTGGCTGTCAGGCGTGAGCGAATGAAATTATCATCAGTGTCGCCAGCACGAATCTGTCTGCCACCATTAACCCAGCTACGAAGCCTTGAGCCGATTAGAATGTAGTCCATTTGACTGACTTTACAGCCATTGTTTGAGCACGAGGTTAACTGACTTTTACGTCGATGCTGGAAAGGGTGTTGGGGACAACTAGCCTGTTCTGTTCAGAAAATTTCAACTTTTTTCATCATTGTCGTGTCACGAACCAAGCCTAAAATGGTCTCCTGCAGCTCGACCGTTCCACCCCTCAGAAATAACCAACAAAACCAGTTCTCTGTGCATTGGATTTTATTTATTGCTGCGCCACTTAGCAGCCGATGTTTAATGTACAATCAGAAACTACATCCCATCAGTCCGGCGTAAGACATCCTGTCGTTGAATAGTTTCCACACAAGCAGTGCATGGTTAGCTCGTTGCGAGAGGGCAATCGCAACACCGTGTCCGTTAACGTGAAGTGTGGAGTCGGACCTCAAAGGGGTAACAGACACCCACGTCGTACTGGTGAAGACTGCCCACCAGGGGCCAGGAACAGCCCTACGATCCATCATCCAACACCAGGGGTCCGTTCTCCATTGGCTAATCCAGATCACATGTCATTCGCCGAGCAAGTCTGTTCTCTCGGAAGCCATAGCATAGATCTTATTATTTGTACCGGACATATTCCATTTGATGTTTAGGACTTCTCTGCGTAAGCGAGACCTCAAAAGGGGGCCGAGATTGCTTGTTAGAGGTCGTATCTTGCGGCGAGTTTGTTCAAGCACTTAAAGACGGGCAGGATTCGTAGGCAGGCTTATTTAATGGCGGTTCCTGATCACATGTCGCAGTGCCCTCATCGGGTTTTGGGGTGTTTTATAGGAGAGTTATCGTGCCAGAGGTCAGTCTTCCTCTAATGTGAGAGCATGATTAGTTCACCAGTAACCTTTGCTGGAAGCCACTCCACTATCCGTCGCGTCTGAACCCGTCGGGTAGTGGGCAGCTATGCCAAGCGGTGAACCGACCTTCTCGAACAAACCCTTCATCCGAGGCGTATCAATAATTTTCTGCGAATGCGCCTCATTGTATCTGCCAGCGTGGACGTTTCACGTTATCACTGGCGATGGCGGTGCGTCGTCAAATGTAGTCATGGTGTCAGCGAGGTTGCCTGAAAGCTGAATATAGGACACCCACCGGCAGCCGTGTAGCGACATCAAGAGGTCTGACTGAATCGTCGTCGTAGCCACTGACAACACACTAAACACCGCTCAGTCCTGTATAGAGGCTTTCAAATATTAATCCCTGACTGACACTAACTATACTGCTGTGTAAATGGCATCAGATTACATGCTGTTCAAGAGTGGACAGAATGTCAAGTGAGATTGACGAATTAAAGAGAATGTGATGATACCTTCAACAACGTGGTCTTGGCACTTAGATGGAAATGACCTGCGTGTCCCTCCCTACGTGGGGAAGGCTGTCTCAACAGGGACTTGGGCATCAAACCAGGAAAATTAGGCATAAACGACCCTTCTATGGGCTCGCATATGTTCAGTATAAATGCGCAATTTATTCGATCACTGATTAAGTGAACAATGTATGGTTTATGGCCGCGGTTACCTACTCCAGGGGGCAATTGTGCTAATAGAAAATTACCGGTGATATTTATTTGTAAGTATCAGAAAAGGAAATCGAAAGATCTCACGGGGACTTTTGTGCGAGGGTGGTCAAGATCCTTTAAGGAAGTCATCGGATTAGAAATACAATATCCAATACCTTTTTAGCAATGCCTGCAAAAGGGCATTAAGTTAGTTTGCTATTATCGTTAAATAATAAAAATGATGTCCAGCTCTTTTGTTCAACACAAATGCTCGGCGAGGTTCGATTCTGCAGCCCCACTTGGTTGATACCGTATGGTTAGAGTACTAAGACAATTATAGTTAGCATACTCAACTGTATCTGCGAATGTCTCTGAAGATGGATTCGAGTGAGGATCCGAAACGTCAGGCAAATAAATTTCTTGTTCCAGTGTTCGCATCTTCATCTTCTGAACTGCTACCGGGATACTCAACATAGCCACTCGCTGGATTAAAAAGGGAAGGAGAGCGCGATCAGAGCTCGAAGCATGCGCAGGGAAGCGAGTGGAGGTGGCGTGTACACACTTCCCCTTCCCCGACACAGCCACTCGCTGGATTAAGAAGCTATAGGGGCGCAATCAGAACTGGAAGGCCACTGAGGGTACCGCGTGGTAATTCGCAGTGCATGGACAATGTAGTGGAACCGAAGGAGTTCCACATCGTCGGAACAATTCCATTAGCAAGTCTACTTGGCCACTCGCTGTATTCGGATAATGAAGAGAGCGCAAGTAGGACTCGAACCACGCGGATGGAAGCGCGCGAAAACTGATTACTAAAGTAGCCCAGGCTGGCGTATAAGCACTCCTTCCTCCGTGGCACAATCACTCGCTGGATTAAAATGGTAGGAAGATGCAAATACGTGATATTTGTCAAGTCAGCTTATTCTTATTTGTCAATTTTTTTTTAGAAAGCTAACCATATGGTATCACTCAGGTGGGACTGCGAGACCAAACCTCGTCAAATGCTCCCCGAAGTAAGTAACCCCCACCATAAACCATACCTTTGTCATTAAGTGTATTTCAAAGATTTCATTACACTGTTATACAAAGTATGAGCATGGTTTCAGTTAGTCACTGGCAATGTATCGATGTCGCTCCCACGCATCAATTCTATTTACCAAACTGCAAGCATCACGCAGCGCTCAAAACCCATCTCTTGCAAATGAGCTTAATGAAGTCGCGATTTTATCGGCGAGTGATCCGCACAGACTACTCCTTGGAGTTTTTCCAAGAGCTGAGGTTATAACTCATGAGAGAACTTGCCTGGAAGAATCTACGGCCACCTGGTCTGAGCGGAAACCCTCCCGAATTTTGAATGTGCCAGGCGCCCCGTAGAATCTAGCAAAACTACCAATCAGCCGAGCTAGGGCGGTTTACGCGTGGTTTCTGTTGGGGTACGAGGTGGATTGCAGTGACAAGGGTGAGCACAGCGCGCATTATTCACGCCGTTCCCAGTGCCCAAACTAGTTCAGGCAGTGAAAGCAACGTCTGCTGGTATGTACAGCCTCATCTGACAATCCCACAATGCAAGGAGCCAGAAGTTGGGTACTTTTGTATTTGCCTAAACACCGGCTGTAGATGGTTGCTTCAGTTTGTCTGGTAGACAGGTCATATCACCGACAGCGGGCATCTGGTGTTTAAGCGCAGCCAGAAGTCGAGAGGAGAACGCAACCGTTGTTGGGCTTGAGCTGTCACGCACGCGAGCGTGCGCGTACTGTCTACTGCGCAAACAACCGGGACGTGCCCGTGGCCCGCCATCCAATCAGCGAGCGAAATTTACAGGCTGAGTCATCACTGCAGCCGTGAGCAGGCGCGGCCGCACGTGGGCAGCAGCGGCGGCGGGGG